TGTGCAGCTGCAGTCTGGCCTACAAACAAATATATTAAACATACTTATAAGAGCATAACAGCTGATTACCCAGATAAATAATTGAATCATGATAGTTAAAGATCATATGATTACAATAACGACTGCAATAATTAATGTTTTAACCTTAAAAGAAAATTTTCAATGTTTTTATTAAATCAGAAACTACTCTATATTCGTTTAAGTTTGCAGAGTGGTATAATTAATTAATATAAGTAAAGTACTTCAACAGTTAAAATTTAACTGAAAGACAGGCAAAAACTTTACTTCAGTTATCACAAACCTATATTTACAATGATAAACATGTTCAGTCTGCCAGAGCTAAGGCCAGTCAATGGAAAGTAAAAGAGTATTATGGATTAACCCGTCCAGGTGATATACATGATTATTTTGGAAATTGATCATTTTGGTCACCTATTGCAAACTGGTGAAAAGATATCAAAGATATAAATTCAACATCCATGCCACTCTATGTATATATATTAAAATACACGTAATCAAATATTTTATCGATATTTCAAATACCGAGAAAATGTTATTTGGTTTGTAATAATTAAAGGTACATATACCTTGTGGTAATGATCCTGCCACATCTATTGATTGTTTAATCAATACATCATGCATATGATTATTAATTCATATTCTGAGTGTAACATACCCCCACTTCAACCAGTTATAGTTACAACAGATTCTGATATCTATTGTTATGGAAGTGTTAAAACCACTTATACAAAGGTAGAGCTAAAATATAAATACCTTCAATATTGTATCTGAGTGCTTTCTTAACTCACTTTTAGAAATAATAATAAAAATCCAAATCATCTTAAGGAAGCTACACCCAACAGCCGCTGGTAAATATATTGAAACAATTAAGATTCTCATTGTTAAGCATCCAATCTCACGAACGTAACTTTCCACAATGGCTGTCAGATCTTTTCTAAGACAATTTTTGGGGATTTCTGGTATTTTAAGCCACTAATAACTGTAGTTATTATATTTACTAATAATAACTAGGGAATAAGTTGTCTTCTCCCTAACAAGTCAAGGAAAGATATTTAACATCATATTTCCAATTAGCAACTATTCTAAATATATTGAGAGATTTTTAATAAAGGAGTATTTTTAACATTTAAAGAGAATGTAATTTTACATACCATTGTGAACAAATGTGGTAAATACTTTGCTGCTTCAGATTATCCTTATCTCTAAATCATATACAAGAGTGTTTGTCTTTAAAACAAAACACTAGAAAGATTAACTATGTTACTATTTCATCTATCATTATTATACAAAGTATAACAAATGTAAAGATTGTTCCACAGATTTTACCTGTTAACATTTTAGCACAACAGCACCTGATGTCAGTGAGATGTCTATCACTGAGATGTTACAAAGATTTCAACACAGCAAAAAGAGGCGTTCTTGAGATTCCACTTCGATTGCTGTATCAACATAACATTTACTATAATGGGATCCATGTCATTTAAGACAATGTCTTGGAAATGCTGTCAATTAATTGATTCCGTAAAAGAATATCGGAGAGTATCCAATCTATACGGTGTAAAAATTTTCATGGAAAACATAAAAAGTAAAGACAAAGGCAAATACCATCACCACGGTGATAACAGATGGTGCTGAATCAATATCTGCAACCAATTCTAGCCAAATTTTTGGAAAGCTGGACTCTACAATCTATACTCTACAACAAATACCCGGGTATTCTACAAACACAACCTCCAGCAATGTATCTAAGGAATGTAAACTTCTACAGGCCTTTAAAGACTTTGGATTACAATCTGCATCCGGATCCATCCAAGAATATCTTGCTCTGGAACTTGGTGTTCTTTTCAATTCTTTCCCAGACAAAAGCTTTGCTCATTTTAATCAACCACCTTTACAGGAAAAGATCACACTACGGATATTTTACTGTTACAACAATGATCAAAAATGCTGGGAGCACAAAAAACCTAAAGACTGTTGGAGAACTTTGGTTCACTAATTTAAGGAAGAAATGCTCTACAATGCCCACAGTTTAATCGAGAGGGTGTTACGGGCAAATGCAAATATTACACGTTTTAGAATCAAATGTTGTATTTCTTAAACTGTGTACTTTGTCTTTAAGAGATATTGCAAACTGACAAGGTGTTAGAAATGGAACATATTGTTTTTCATAACTGTTTCATTAAGCAATAAACCTAATAATATGTTTGCGCCATTTTGTCCCAGACGAATTACAATAACAATAATGCATAAACAAGCTTCAAGGCTATACTACGACTCTTTCAGTACACAATATACTATTGCAACCCCAAGTTAATGGAACTTCCCCAAATCCAGGAATCTCCCACCACTGTGCACTTACGTCTTAGTATAAACAACCGATAAGCTATTCAGACCTTAAGATGCCATCTTGAACTAAGTCAGGAAAATTTCCATGACGTATGCACCCTTTAGTTATGGCCTTGTATGTTTGCCAAATTAAGGGATGTCCTAAAATGAATAAAGTAAAAAAGTTACTTTTTCATATATGAACTACGGTAACCCTAAAATGGAGACACCTAAGGTATAAATGTGTGTACTTTTAAATGTTAAGACAGAGGAGAGACTTGGAGACAGACGCTGCTCCATCTTAAAATGACAGAGAGGCTGACATGATGACATGTTCAGAAGGGTATGTTAACCTATTAATGACATGTTCAGAAGGGTATGTTAACCATATAATGCAAATGATTGCTACTAAAAACTTGCAGAATAATTGTAATTGGTTAACTCAAGACAAGGTGCTGCAGCAACTAAAGAAAGTTAATATAAACAAAGCTCCAGGGCCTGATGGTATCCATCCACGAGTACTTAAGGAACTAAGTGCAGAAATAAGTGAACCTCTGTTTTTAATCTTTCAAGATTCCTTTCTTTCAGGAAGTGTTCCAGAGGATTGGAGGAAAGCAGATGTGGTTCCTATATTCAAAAAGGGTTCAAAATCCTTGCCTGGAAATTATAGACCTGTGAGCTTAACTTCCGTGGCTGGGAAAATATTCAAGAATTCCTTGAGAAGAACATGGTTATCAGCAAAATCAGCATGGTTTTATGAAGCACAGGTTATGTCAAACTAACTTGATTGCATTCTACCAAGAAGTAAGTAGAAGTATAGAGCAGGGTGTTGCAGTGGATGTGATCTATTTGTATTTTGACAAGGTATTTGATACAGTTCCACACAATAGATTAGTGTTCAAACTCAAGGAAATCGGTCTAGATGAAAATGCTTGTTCTTGGGTAGAACATTGGCTTAAAAATAGAGTACAAAGAGTTGTCATTCGTGATGTCCCAAACAGTTCGCTGGCGAATAGTTCCTGGCGAACATCGCTTGTTCGCGTTCGCCACCGACGGTGAACATATGCGCTGTTCGGGCCGCCCCCTATTCGTCATCATTGAGTAAACTTTGATCCTGTACCTCACAGTCAGCAGACACATTCCAGCCAATCAGCAGCAGACCCTCCCTCCCAGACCCTCCCACCTCCTGGACAGCATCCATTTTACATTTATTGTGAAGCTGCATTCTTAGTGAGAGGAGGGACAGTGTAGCTGCTGCTGATTTGATAGGGAAATTGATAGCTAGGTTAGTGTATTCAGTGTCCACTACAGTCCTGAAGGACTCATCTGATCTCTATGACCTCACTACCCCTCACCACCTTCAGCCTCACTACCCCCCACACCACCCCCAGCCTCACCACCCCCAGCCTCACCACCCCCAGCCTCACTACCCCCACACCACCCCCAGCCTCACTACCCCACACCAACCTCCAGCCTCACTACCCCCACACCCTCAGCTTCACTAGCCCCCACACCCTCAGCCTCACTACGCCCTCCACCCCAGCATCACCACCCCACACCACCCTCAGCCTCACTCCCCCCACACCCTCAGCCTCACTACCCCCCACACCACCCTCAGCATCACCACCCTCAGCCTCACTACCCCCCACACCACCCCCAGCCTCACCACCCCCAGCCTCACTACCCCCACACCACCCCAGCCTCACCACCCCCAGCCTCACTACCCCCCACACCACCCTCAGCATCACCACCCCCACACCACCCTCAGCCTCACTACCCCCCACACCCTCAGCCTCACTACCCCCCACACCCTCAGCATCACTTCACCCCCACACCACCCTCAGCCCCTCACCACCCTCCACACCCTCAGCATCACCACCCCCCACCACCCTCAGCCTCACTACCCCCACACCCCTCGGCCTCACTACCCCCCACCACCCTCAGCATCACCTCCCCCACACACCACCCTCAGCGGGGCCTGCCCAGTGCCACCACTCACTCACTGGTGTTCAATAGCTTGCATTTAAAAAACAAAAAAACTTTTGACTGTAATATAATAGCAGTCAGTTTTCCTTACGTGAGTGTCGCGTTTCACCCCTCCCAGCTCCACTACCCCCACCCTCAAACTCACTACCCCACCCCTCAGCCTCCCCACTACCCCCACACCCTCAGCCTCACTACACCCCCACCACCCTCAGCCTCACTACCCCCACCACCCTCAGCATCACTACCCCCAACCACACTCAGCATCACCACCCACAACCAACCTCAGCCTCACTACCACTAACCACCCTCTGCCTCACTACCCCCCCACACCACCCTCAGCATCACCACCCCACTACCCCCCACCACGACCCCCAGCCTCTCACCACCTCCAAGCCCCACTACCCGCACACCACCCTCAGCCTCACTACCCCCCACACCACCCAGCCTCCTACCCCACACCACTCTCAGCCTCCACCATCTCAGCCTCACTGCACCCTTCAGCCTCCTGCGCCACGTCGCCTCACTGCCTACACCGCCCTCAGCCTCACTACCCCCCACACCCTCATCCTCACTCCCCCCACACCACTCTCAGCATCACCACCCTCAGCCTCACTACCCCCCACACCACCCTCAGTTATAAATGTACAAACCGCCGTTTGGTGAATGCTCCCCATTCGCAATAATGTTGTCTGTAAGCGTATGCAATACAACCATGCGAACCGCCAGCCAAGGAAAACTCCAAACTCCCGAACGGTATCCGTACGGCTCCTTCCCTTCACGAGCCACAAGCTCACAAACTGCCAATATCAGCCGAACGCCAATATCTTCCAAGCGGCAAATAATTCCAAATTGCAGTCTCTAGTCGCCGGTAATAAAATCCCCCCAATGAGACCAAGCTCCGCATTGAGGGTAAAACACGAACTGAGTTAACTGTGGGCTACCCGCCCATATTTATGCAGGTCTTCCACTTGGTGGACACTCCCCTAGGGGACCAAATGGGTGTGAGGAACTGACTCTGCTGGGTTTCGAACCCTGATTTACATGGTGCTAAACCTTTTCCTTACCAGTAAACCAGCCTGCCTTTTGCAAATTTACTTGAGATCTGATACCATTGCTTGTAGAGTCAAGGTTATCAGTGACAACTCTCTTCAGCTGTGTCTGGTCAGGTGTCTGGTTCTTGGCCTATAAAAGCCACTTCCTGTCTCTGTACCTTTGCCAGATTATTGTGATTCCTGTACTCTCTAATCAAGCGTGTTCCTGTTTCTCCTTCCTGTTGCTGAATTTGGACTGTTTTGACTTTGCTGCTTCCCCTTCCCACTGACCTCGGCTTGCCTCACTACGATTATCATCTTTCTGTTCCAGTCTCCCATCTCTGCTTAAGACCAGAAGGCCACTCAAGGCTCAGGGGCTCAACCACCTGGGTAACGAGTGGCTACCTCTGGCAGAAAACATTGCTGATCTGGCTACTGGACTCCAAAACTTTGTAACATCAATATCATTACAGAATAATCTGGCACATTCATGGAGACCGTCGGATCAGATTCTGCATTGGCCCAGCAGGTTGCTTTTAATGCAAGAACTATGCAGACCCAGGCACAGACCATTCAAGTGCTGCAGGATCCGGTAGCTGAACTGCAAAATGAAGATCGATCAATGCATAGTGAGCTTACCAGCTACAGGGCACATGATGTTGCGGCTGCTGCTACTACTACTGTTACACCTGCACAAGATGCCCGCTTGCCTCTACCAGAAAAATTTGGAGGAGACCGCAAAAAATTCAGGGGTTTCCTAAATCAATGCCGTTTGCATTTCATGATGTTACCTAACCGTTTCCATCTGAAAGAGAGAAGGTGGGATTTATTTTTTCCCTCTTCAAAGATGAAGCCCTGGCCTGGGGCTCCCCTTTTCTGGAACAGGACAGTCCAATCTTGGGAAATTTAAAAGACTTTCTTGAGGCCATGTGCCTAGTTTTTGATGATCCCAATCGCTGTGCTACAGCAGAAGCCACTCCCCTTCATTTACATCAAGGGAGGCGCTCTGTGGCTGAATATGCTGCTGAATTCAGACAGTGGGTTACTGATACTACTTGGAACCAATCAGCCCAGAGGTTCCACTTCAGAAGGGGTCTCTCAGAAGCTATAAAAGATGATCTAGCTCGTGTTGATCTTCCTGTTGAGTTTGATGCATTTGTGCGGTTGGCTATCCGTATTGATCGGAGACTTTCAGAAAGAAGATTGGAAAGACAGGGCTCTTTTAAACCAAGTGCTACTCCTACTTTCTATTCAAAAATTTCTACTCCGACCCCACAAACACCTACAGACTCTGAACCTGAGGCTATGCAGGTAGATCTAATAAGAGGGCCATTATCCAATGAAGAAAAACAGTGGTGACGCACTCACAATTTATGCCTGTATTGTGGTAGTACAGGGCATTATGCCATCAATTGCCCTAACAAGTCTAAAAGAACAATAGCTATGACTGCTGAGAGTGCACAGATTCAACACCAATCCCAGATTTCAGACCAACTGGATTCTGTCACACAACCCTTGTTTTCTCTGGCTCAGGGTGAAGAAGGTATGATGACTCAACATCTTCATTTGGTGGTGCCTATCACTTTGCAATATGGTGATAATAAAATTTCAACTACAGCTATGATAGATTCCGGAGCAGGCGGAAACTTTATGGACATTAAATTTGCAGCAGGAAATAAAATTCAGTCTATCCCTAAATCTTCACCTGTGTTAATGGAAACAGTAGACGGTTCTCCACTAACGTCAGGCCCGGTTACACATGAGACTGTGCCCTTAAAATTGATTCTGGAAGTGAATCACCGTGAGTCTATATCTTTCCACCTAATTTCCTCAACACAGTTTCCAGTGATTTTGGGTATACCCTGGCTTGCTCTGCATAACCCACAGATTGATTGGAAGACTAGAACTTTGTCCTTTCCTTCAGAACACTGCTTAATGAATTGTCAACCCTCTAAGGCGACACCTGTTACCACAACAATTAATAAAATGGTTGCTACAAACTTAACTAAGCTTCCTCTACAATATCGGGATTTTGCAGATGTCTGTGATAAGAAGAATGCTGATCAGCTTCCACCTCACAGGCCTTATGATTGCCCCATAGAGCTGCTACCTGGAGCTGCTATCCCATTTGGCCGTATATACTCCTTTTCTGAGCCTGAATTGAA